TGATTTAGTAAATTGATTGTATAAATGATTTTGTGTGATTTGACTTCATGGTGTGACCAGTTATTTAAATATATTTTTGACCTCCAGATTGATTTTGTCACAAAGTATGCTTGCGGCAATTCTAGTGCCATTCCCTGTAATAAGTAATATTAGTAATTGTATAGTTATATTAAATATACAATCATTTTAATGATAAAATTAATTGAATATCATTTCAAATAGTATTAATTAATTTTTATATAAATTACAATATTTTTGTCCAAACTTTTCAGGTAATTAATTAAAATATCCCTTTTATATAAATTAATAAAGTTTAATAGACTAAAAATATTTTCAATATTAATATTAATCATTAAATGTACAGTGTACTTTCAATCGCTCATATGATTACGTTGTGTATTACAAGCAATTTCATTAATACTAGTCATCATTAATTAAGAAAATATATTTACTTATAAATGTTCAATCATATACATAAGTTATAAAAATACTTAATTTCAATAAATAAAAATAAAATTGTTACATTACCCGGACATTTTTCAAAAATGCAAATCATTCAAATAATTGCTAACTTATTAATAAATAACAGAATAAAATTTATTACAATTCAAAAGCATATTTTAATAATTGAATATTTTTTACAATACTTTGTATAACTACTGTATTAGCATTTGATATAAATTTATATTGTATGAAGCAAAATGTTTGCCAATTTTTTATCCAATTATCATATATTGTTTAATTTGTCGCTTATTCTGTTAACTACACTAACCATTGGTTTAATCACAAACATATTCAATAACATTAAACTCCGGAAACGACTGCCCCCGGGACCCATATGCCTGCCATTTTTGGGATACATACCATTCCTGGGCAAACGACCCCATAAAACAATCGCCAAACTGAGTGATAAATACGGACCGGTATTCACGTAAGTATTAAATTGTTGTAATTTATATAATTGTATTTTAAATGAGTTTATCACAAAAATCATGAAATATTACCACTGATTGAGTCATAGTTTGATAATATTTTTTAAAAATTCGCGTTTAGTTTGCAATTAGGAGTCCATAATGTGGTCGTTATTAACAATTGGGAGGCAGCCTATGAAGTGCTCCATAAGGATGACTATTTAGGCAAAGCAAATGATCCAGTTCATCGTAATATATGTAATTATAATATATACGAGAGAGAGAGAGAGAGAGAGAGAGAGAGATATGACTAAAATGTTTTTTTTATAATACTGTAATTGTATTGAAGTAAATGGGATCTCATGGCGAGACCACAAACGGTTTGCATTACAAGTGTTCAAAGACTTAGCCTTTGGGAAGGGTATGATGGAGGACAGGATCACCGATGAGATCAGTTATCTCACGAATCTTATTGACGAAACTAATGGTCAGTCTCTGTGTATTAAAGACATACTGACCCCCAGTGTGTCCAATAACATGTGTCAACTGGTGTTTGGCCACCGATTGGACTTCAATGACCCCAAGAGACAGGCTATGGATATGTATTTAAATTTGTTGTCAACAATGCCTTCAGTGATAGGAATAGCATCGATGGCACCGGTATTTGTGAGCAAAATATTTAAAACACTGAAGTCTAGTAATGATAAAAAGACAGCCAATGATGTCATCAGTATTTTTGAGTATAATATTAATAATAGTTATAATTTTTACGCAAATTATTTGTTCAAAAAATGATTGAATGAATAGATCGGAGATCTCTTCGCACGAGAAGTCATTTAATGTCAATAATAGAGTCAATGATTATATCGACGGATACTTAGCGGAGATGGAAGTGAGACA